CCCCAAGGATGCATCGCACCCTTAAGGCGAGCCCTTAAACCAGAATCCAGGGACCGAAGCGGACACGATGGCGCCCAACTTGGGCAAGCCGCCTGAGTGACCCTGGAGCAGGAGAGGAAGGGAGGCGTGCCAGCAGCTCACCTGGGAAAGAAGCTTCCGTGGGGCCCTCCCGCGTGGCCCAGCCCCCAACACCTCCCTCCCCCCTCCTGGGGACCCTCCCAGTTAGCAAGATTTATGGCTCCCTCCAGCTGCCCCCAACAGTGGTGGCCTTATCTTGCGGGGAGGCTGGATTAGGCCACAGCTGTTTCCTTCCCTGCCCCCATCTGAAGTGGCCCAGGGCACAGCTGTTGGGGCAAATAATGCTGCCCAGCCCCCCCCCCCCAGGAGATGCAGACAGCTGCGAGGAGGAGGAGGAGGAGGTGCCGGAGACTCACTCTTGCTGGTCATGGCTGCTGTGATGTTGAAGGTGGGGGCTCCGCCTGTGCTCTTGGTCCGCAGGTCCATGGTACACTCCCCGTCCGTGTGCAAGCTGTCCCAGATGACGGAACACTTCTGGCCCCCAAGCGTCAGCCCGTTCACAAACATGTTGTCTCGGTCCTTTCCTACCAGGACGTTCACTTCCGCAGGCTGCCAGGGCAACAGGACAGCAGGTCAGGCCCAAGAGGGGACTGGGAGCTTGCAAGGACCGTGGCTGCCCAGCAGCTGAACCAGTGGCCAAGCCCAGGAACCCCTGGCTGCGCCATAGGGGCGCCATACGGGGGGGGGGGGGAAGGGCTTGCATTGGCAAGAACCTTCCAAGTCAGAGGAACCCAGGGTGGGGCGGGACCCCCTCCTCCAGCCCACCCACAAGCAGCAGCAGCAGAGTGTTGGACTAGAGGGGCCACTGGCCTGATCCAACATTGGCTTCTCTTATGACAGAGCCAGGAGTGACCCCCCTCCCCAAATGGCGGAGCTGGGACAGACCCCCCCCCCAGCCAGCCAAGGACTCTCCCCTCCCTCCCCTGGTCTGGCCACAAAGCTGCCCGGAGAAGGGGACTCGGGCACCAGGGCCTATTCCGGGGAAACCACGGCCACGAGAGCGCAGAATCCCCTCTTCCCCCAAGGGGTCCCTGCCAGGAGATGATGATGGCCGGGAGGGAGGGAGGGCGCAGAGCCCAGGAGGACCACACCCCAGGAGGGCCCTCGGCTCAGGGGGCCTTGCTCAACGGGGCTCTCCTTCTTCCGCGAAGAAGAAGCGGACGGGGCAAATGTCATGTTAGGCGAGACTGGCGCGTAGGGTCGAATCAGGGCGCTTTCTTTTCCGCCGAGGCGGCTGCGCCCGGAGGCGCCCCCCCCCCCCCCCCCCGCGGAAGGGAGCCCGAGCCGCCTCAAGTGCTGCAGCCAGGAGCTGGAGGAGGGGGCTCAAGGTCACCGGCCCCTCCTGTCACGGGCAGGGAGAAGCCGCCCAGCGCCACGAGGCCTTCCGGGTGCACGTGGGCACGGACAATGCACGCCGCCTCCCCCCCCCGCAGGCATTTCCGTAGAGCCCCTGGGGGGCAGGGCCCGGCCCTCTCTGCCCTGCCCGCGGGCACATGAACCCAGACGCAAAGGGGAAGTCCGCAGCAGCAGAAGGCCGGCGGGGCGGGGAGCGGAGGAGGAAGACACCCTCGCCGCCGCCCCCACCCCCGCGCCTGCCCCCACCC